CCCCCCCCCCCCCCTTCTGGCTCTTAAGACTTTTAGGAGACTGCTGAGAACTTGAGTGAAACTTACATTCTTTGGAGGTTCCTTTTTCCTTGATTCTCACAGCTATCTCATGGTGTCCTCTGTCGTCGGCTTCTACAGCCTTCGTTTTTTTGAAAATTTCATTCCCAGGAAGGATGATACAACTATGACAAAGGTAAGATAAACTCTGTGATGGTGACAGCCCCCTCCTCTCTCTTGCCACCCAAGACAAACTGACTCTTTTAGTTAGTAATTGCCCCGAATGGCTCATTTGCAGTGATCATTATTTGTTTGTAAGCTGCGTAAACACAAACTGGAAGATTTTCAAAATGCTGAATGAGTGGGAAAAAGGATGTGCTCTGTTTAGTTTGGATGGCATCCATTCACTTGTTAACAAGCTCTGCTATTCCCAGCTTTTTACTAGCTATAGAAAAGCTGGTGAAAGAACTTTTTTTCAAAGGAAATGTATTGCTAATGAGTAACTTTGATTGTGCCTAACTGTACTTCAGGGAGCTTGTTTGAAATCTGAAGAACTTGGTTGCTAGAAGTAATACAGACAGAGTAATTCAAATTTGAATAATTAAACTAAGACTGAGGAGATCTATTCAGCAACATTTTGCAGTTTGAGGCTAATTTGACTTTCTGCAATTTAGCACTGGCTTGAGTACAACAAATGCTGTTCCTTAGCATTAGGTAACATGTTTTTTTTTTTTGCAAAATATTCCCACAGCTGACAAGGGGAGGTGATCAGTAACCAAGGAACAGATGTTGTATTTAATTATATATCATTGTGTTTCAGTATGAAGAAAAGGTATTGGATAAAAATGTTTTTATCATAAAGTATTGGAAAGGGGAAAGTAGGTAAACATGGAGTGGTTATAGTGGATTACTTAGGGAATTAGAATATACTTAATGTTTGTATAGTTTGTTTACAGTATACAAAAATAGTATAGAAATAAATAGTGATGCATGAATATCTACCCTCTTTTAAGGAGTTTGGAGTTTTTCTTTAGAATTCTTACAGAACTAGGGCTGAAGAAAGTGCTCCTTCCTGAGAGAAAGAAGTTTCAATTACTCTTTATAAAAGGCTTTACAAAAACTGGAATAAAATCTAACAGCTGTGATTTTTTTCATACTATTTAAAGTAGTCAACAGGCATTCAATTGAAAGGAAACTCTTTGTTGTAATTTTTTCAAATAATGCTAATCCTGCAAGCAGTTACATACAAAGCTTAAGCTGATATATCAGTCATCTAGTTAAGCTCATGGAATGGTTCTTTTCTAAACGGTTTGCAGGAATTAAATAGTTGATGCTTTGCAACATAGTAGCTTTGAATCTTAATGCTTTGATTAAAAATAAATGAATACATATTTGATTTTTTTTTTAAACTCTTGGATGATCAATTGTGCAATACCATATGGAGAGGTGTGACAGAGGTAATCAAGACTACCAACAGGTTGTAGAATTCTTAAGGTTCAGTTTGAACAATATTTTATGCAATTGTTTTTCCTATATCTTGACCAGATTTTCTTGTTGTTTTTTTTTTTTTTCCCTTTAACGGTACTGTTTATCATCTCAATGCTATTTGACATATTCAAACAGATAATTGGAAACTGTGTCTCAATCTTGGTGCTGAGCTCAGCTTTGCCAGTGATGTCAAGGACACTGGGTAAGTGAAGTGTAGAATGTTATAATACAAAATATTAGAATAAAGGGCATTTAATAATGGGTTAAAAAAAACCCAAACAACTGAGCAACAAAACGTGTGGTTGTTACTCTCATGCTGTTGTCTGTGTTTGGGAGCCTTTCTATAATATGAGCTGTTTATTATACTGAAGAACGTGCATTTAAAAAACAGCAATGCATTTTCTGGAGAACACTTTTAAAAAGGCAGTGAGATTTCAAAATTATTGAAAGGAGATGTTGTGAAGAATACATGCTACATACAGGGCAGAATAAAATAGTTTTATGTTATGTTCAATGTCAAATTACAGTACTTTGTTTTTATGGAGAAAATACATTTGAGGATTTCAAATATAAAATGAAGTTACGTTAAGTGGACATGCCTTCTAAAATAATGTAATAAATCTTTGTTGATTAATTCTATTTGGCACTGTGATAACCAGGCTACTTTCATTTTCACTGAAGTCTTCTTGCACTTTGCATTCCTTCAGTTTTAAAATGGAAATCATACGGATCTGATATTGCAGAGTTGAAGCAATTGTCATGTGTTTTTTTTTTTTTAAAGAACCAGCAGTAGCATTCAAAGTGAACAACGTAGCCGGTTGGAAAGACAAGATGTTCAAGATGTTTGGTATCTTAGTTTTGTTGAATTAGTTAATCTTCAGCTTGAATTCTAAAAGTTTGATTGCAAGGCTATTACCAAGTACATAAAAGTAGATGTTTAAGTAGTGGAAGATACTTGCAGCTAATGTGAATTTAATTGGCTGTATTGAAAAAAAACCTTTATCTCAGGCTGTATGTCTTCAGTTTAAGTTAAATCTCAGGCCCACAGATCAGCAATGTGTACAACAGCAGTTCTGTAGCTAATTATTTCCAACCAGAATACAGTCAAATCAAGAGTAGCTAATGTTTTCCACTAAGCTGTACTGTATATTTTTGTGGTGTATATCTACAGGCGAGTGTTACATACTAAATCATTTCTTTAACATAACATGATAGATGAGTGAATGACTGCGATGTGGGAATGTTGAATCCTAAAGTATGCACTCTAGAACTCTTAAAAAAAGAAACAAACACAAAACTGTAGCAAAACTTGAAATAAATAAAGGAGTAGGTCAAGTATTTAAGGCAGTGTTAGCATAAAGCTAGTTTGAGACCTTCGTACAACACTTCTAGTGCTGAGGAAGATTTTATCGAAAAATTAGTGTATTAAAATAGAATTGCAACATTAGGATTGTGTTCACTGCCTTACTGCATTAATCATTTGTTTTTTTTTAAAAAAGATCATTGTTAATGATCTGTGAGATTAACGGATGATAATAAGTGGCTTCTGTGGAAGAAAGTATACATGCTGGGTGCATTGTTGTCTCGTAGGAAACAGATTAATGGTAAAACTCACTTTAAAAAAAAAAAAAAAGGCCGACAAATGAAATTCCTGAATAGTTTGCCATAGAGATAAATAAAAGAAGAAAAAAGATGGAACAGTTAACGCACAGCTAACAAATGCACAGACACAGCTGTCCAAACAGGATTAATAGAGTGTGTTAGAGTACAGTGAGTCATGTGGCGCTTTGCAAAAATATCAACATGTGTTGCACTACATGCTACTGCCCTGTGGGACTGAAAAGGTGAAAAGAAAGAAATATGTTAGGCAGATTCATCGTCTTTTCACATCATTATATAAGCAAGTTTCTAGACTGTACAGAAAGCACTAAATATTATTGTTATGTGAAAGGTAAAATAGCAAAAGCTATCTGGTACATGTATGGGACCTTCTTCAAGTTTTAAAGATGGAAATAGCGTTTTTTAATGTTAAACAGCATGCTTATGTGGATGAGCTGTCTCTAATCTTTCTTAGTCCGTGATAGCTTTTACTAAGCTAACTAATTTTATCAGAGCTTTTCAGCCTTAGTAGTCCTGCTTGAAAATTGTTTCCCACCAGCACTGTATTGCTATGAGGCAAATGGAGAACAGGGCACTTAACAGAGAAATAGAGAAACAAAGAATTGTGAACTAAATGGAATTTTCTAATATGATGAAAGCTTTCCCAGAATTCTTCTCTTGCTTGTAATGGTAGAGCAAAACGTGATATGAAACTCATTTGCAGATATCGTTTAAAATAGTGTTTCTTTTTTAACCTGAACAGCTTTTTTAAAACCTGATTTTTTTTAAAGCTGAACAATTATTTAGTGCTTCATTTGGGAAACTGTCGTGAACTGTCATGGATAAATGTCTACCAGAGCTGTAGCTTTCAGTTCTGAGCAGCTTTTCAAGTTGTGGTCTTGGGAACTGTTTTTTTTTTTTATTTCTACAGCCTGTGTAGATTGTGCTTCTGAGGAGTCACAAAAGCTTGTTAACCTTTTCCCCAGCACGCCTACAGAATGATGCTGTCTGATTTTCTCATGAGCAGTGACTTTTTTCTGTTTGTAAGGGGAAAATGTGTAGCTTATGTTACAGAAGTGTTGTGCTTCATTTTTGTTTGTCCTTGGAACTCCCACACCATTGCCAGCTATTCTTCTGAACGCCTTTGTGTCCAGATAAATTCACCCAATTTTCTGCCTGTTTTGTTTCTTTTCCTTTGAGGGTCTGGAAGTCTATACATTCAGGTTTGACTTTCTCAGTTTTCCTGTAGCTCTGCAGCCTGAGTAAAACACTCTGCTGCTTTGAAAATGTTCTTAAGGGCACTGTTTGGCTTCAAGTGTGAAAACAACTGTTATTTTTCAACTGTTTATCACTTATTCAGTGCTTCATCTCTCTTGCTTTATTTCTACTTGCCTCTCTTTTGCTGTTTTGGTCAACTTTGGGTTGATTTTTTTAAACCCCCTTTATCCTTTCAAACTTTTCTCATTGTGTCATGTTTTGCTTGAACACAAAAGTTGGTTCGATTTTTTTTTCAATTTAAATGACTGAGTACAAGAAACGTCTGCCTTTTAATATGCTGATGGCTGGCTGAGGAGTCTTGAGGGTCTTGAGACCGGACTGTGGTACAGTGAGGTTTGTAAGTGCTGAGCTTACCTTTGAAAGGAAGGTAGCAGCTGACCTCATTCTGTCTCTTCACTTAGTATTACTGATGAAGTTGTAGTTCTAAAAGGCCTCAACCTTTTCAAAAATAAGATGATAGAAAAAGATTCCAGATCCTGTAGAACCACGTCTAGTTTCTGATGCCATTTTAGTTCTGGCACAAGGTAGGCTTCCTTCCTTCACAATGTTAGTCTGAACTGTGAGAACATGTTGCCATGACATTTTCTGAGTTGTGTTTTTAGGTATGTAACAGCTCACTGATGCTAGACAATTATTATTTGTGTATTACAGAATCATAGAATGGCTTGGGTTGGAAGGGTTGGATGGTTAGGTTGGATGTCAGGGGGAAGTTCTTTACAGAGAGAGTGGTGAGGTGCTGGAACAGCTGCCCAGAGAGGCGTGGATGCCCCGTCCCTAGAGGTGTTCAAGGCCAGGTTGAATGGGGCCCTGGGCAGCCTGGTCTAGTATTAAATGTGGAGGTTGGTGGCCCTGCCTGTGGTAGGGGCGTTGGAGATTGGTGATCCTTGAGGTCCCTTCCAACCCTGGCCATTCTGTGATTCTGTGACCCCAAGGATCACCAAGTTCCAATCCCCTGCCACAGGCAGGGCCACCAACCTCCAGATCTGGTACTAGACCAGGTTGCCCAGGACCTCATCCAACCTGGTCTTCAACACCTCCAGGAACAGAGCATCCATAACCTTTCTGGGCAGCCTGTTCCATCACTTCACCACTGTCTCTGTAAAGAATTTCCACCTGACATCCAATCTAAAGCTTCCCTCCTTGAGCTTAAAACCATTCCCCCTTGTCCTATCACTGTCTACCCTTGTAAAAAGTTGTGAAGATGACCTGTCAGCACCACCTTTCAGCCAGGCTCTTTTCCTTAGGTGCAAATACAGGCAGATAGCTCTGGGAAAAAAGCTGTAGTTGGAAAGCAGTCATTAAACTTCAGTTTCAAAAGCAGATGCTCTGAAGAACACAGACATACAAAAGCTCAGTGTTGTGGTTCTCATGGAACCTGTACTGCCTGTGTTTTTCAACAAGAAAGTCCACAATGTATTTTATCATTTTTCTGAAGTAGATTTTATAGAAACTGAAATTTTAAGCATTTTTCACTCTAATGTTGACTTTTCCCAGTTATTTTTACTGAAACTGTAAAAGCAGAATTCTTTTTTAGACTAAGGAGTTACTTGAGCTCTCATTATTCAAACATTTTGCTAGGAAACCTAAGAAAGCATTTTGCTAAGTGTCTTAGTTTTATGGTAGTCAAAGAGGCAAGTGACTTGATAGCATTTTCTTGTCTGTTTAACCACGTCTTACAGTATGTTGTCTGAAACTACTTCACTTCCACACAGTGATAGTTGTACATTTTTCTGAAAATGTAATCAAGGTTTTAATGCAAGTCTCAAATTCAATTTTAACAGGAATTACTCGATTTGATCTGCTTGGAGACTTTGGAAGGTTTAACTGGCTGGGAAACTTCTATATTGTATTATCTTACAACTTGCTCTTTGCTATCATGACAACATTATGTCTGGTCAGAAAGTTCACTTCTGCTGTGCGAGAAGAGCTCCTGAAGGCATTAGGTAATAATAGCACTGGAAATTTAGTTTGTACTTCATATTACTTTTCTCTAGCATTGATACCTTGTATTGTTACTGTTCTTCCATGTTGTGAGAGCATAGAACATATTCTTTACTGCTCCTGAGCATACAGAAGTCTGAATATATATCCAAGCGTAAGCAGTGGTTGACATTGATTCTTAAGGGGAATTTGGCATTTATTGGCAATTGGAAGGCAGAAGTAAGAGATTTTAATCTTCCTGTCTTTTTACCCTGACAGAGACACCTAATCCTTAAATTCTTGCTATGTGTATTATATTGAGCTGCTTTCAGATTCTGCATTCCAAAATGTAAATGTTCATGTGCTGTGTTTGTGTTTCAAAGCAACTTATTAATTCACTAAAAATAGGTTAGTGGAAGTCTCAGCTGCTTTGTTTTGATGTTTCTTTAAGTGCTACATGTTTACAAAGTCCTTGTACAAAATTTATGGGATCTTAATAACTGGCTGAGTAACAACTAGAGTTGATAACAGGATTTTGATCAAATCATGCTTTCACATTCAGGAATTTGCAAGTCTGGCCATACAAAAAAGGTGAGAAAAATATTTGATACTAAGAAGTTGTTACTGCATCTCGTGTTAACTAATGAATGAAGCTCCTTTTTACAACCATACAATAGTATTTGCTTAAATGGAATGGACTAACAGTGAAACTTCAGGGTTTGTTTATAAACATGGACTCAGTTGATAGTGTCTAAAAAGTACTTGTATTAGTTTTCACTGACTACTGCTTTCCGGAGTTGGGAACTTGCTGAACAAAATCCTAGAATGATTAAGTTAGTTTCAGAACTACTAAATAGGGCACTACAAAATGACTGATACTGTAGGACTAACAGAAGCCTTTCTGTCTTTTTTGATGTTGAGTTTTCAAGCTCCAAGGGAACAGGTGACTAGGGAAGTAGTGTGTAAATCTATTGATTTTTATGCTAAAATAGTTTCAGAGAAGTTGCACAGTTGATTTGAGAGAGTGCTTAGTTGAAGCAGTTTTTAGTTTGTATGTATTTTTCTGAATAGCTGTATGCATGAAATTTGGAGGAATCTCATTTTTTCCTTATTGTGTAATGTTTTTCAGGATTAGATAAACTTCATCTGTCAAACAATCCAAGAGACTCAGAGACAAAGCCGTCTGCAAATGGGCATCAGAAAACACTGTGATTGACAATCACCTGCAATCAACAGAGCTGAAAACATCAACCTCATGGCATTCCTGTCATCTCATCAGCTTTTTTATATTGTTCTTTTGTTGATAATCTGGGTCCAGCCTTGTCTCATTTCTTGATGCTGTGTGCTTCTGAGGAACTTAGCTGTATCACATTCTTCTCTTTCCAGTTAACTTTTGGTCTGCTTGTTTATTTCCCAGTAAGTTAATGCAGGAGGTGCCTTGAAGACTGGAAGTTGAAGAGAATAATTAATTTCTTTTTATTGACAGTCTCATATCTTTAGATACAAACCTGCTACCCTCTGAATGCACAGTATCTCCTGTGTAATGCAGACATAGGTTGTAAAGAATAACTTTGGGACTTTTTTTTTTTTTAAAAAAAAAGATAGACTTGAAGCCTAGTATGACCCTTATTGGAAATGTAAGCTACTTGGAGTGGGCATCCTTGACAGTAGACAAGCAGTTCCACTAAAAATGTTTTAAAAAATGAAAGTTACTGGTAAAGACCACAGATCATGTCGGACTCGGTTGGCTGATAGCATGGCCTTTCTTGGAAGGCCAGCGTTTTCAGTTCTCTGTTCCCAGCTGTAAATGCCAGGTTGCTTTACTGGTAGTCAGGCAATGTCTAATTAAATAGTGAGCCACACAGTGAAGATTAACTTCAGTGTTAAACCTGAGCCTAGTGTGCTTTGGGAAAAAAAAAAAAAAAAAAAAAAAAAAAAAAAAGCTGCATAGACCCCATGTCACAACTCTTACAATTCTGTAATGATTTTGTACTATGGAGGTCACTCACCCTACCAAGTGCACCCTGTAAAATTCTGTATGAACTCCTGTGAATAAGCAGTACTTGTAACTCATGCAAGTTGCACAAGTTTAGGAGGCTGTGGTTGTGGTTTTTTTTTTTTTACAGTCTTCTTTAATTTGAAGTAAATTATGTCTCTGAATTTATACTGTAGTTATGAGGATTTCTGTTCAGTGGCATAATCCAGTATCTTTCACTAGCCTGTTTTTTAATGTACACACAAACATGTATATAGGACTACATGTGTAGATACCATAAATTAAATCTAAGCTTGTAGAGATGGCATAGTTGGTTTGATAAGTAAAGCTTGTGTGTTCAAGCTTGGTAGTACAAATTTCTGTGATGTTACAATTTAACTGCCCAGAGGCCTTACATTCAGAATGGCATCAGTGAGTGTAATGTCATTTTTCTTAGCATCACTGCTGCCTTAGGAATTCTATTAGCAGTTTATAGTAATAATAAAAATATATAAAAAAGGCAAAACCAGCACCCACCAACAAAACCCCAGCTGTTCAAATTCTAGTTGCATTTTTGTGCTGCTCTGTTACAGGTAGTGTTCAAATGGATTGGAATGAGGACAATTTCAGTATGTGCTCCGTATGTAGTGGATCAGTTAATGTTCCTGATTATTCTGGTTCCTGTTAAACTGAAGTATGTCTGTTTGTGGCTTTAGGTCTTGAGAGTGATCAGGCTGTGACAGTTAACTCTCCAGCGGGGTTCTAAGATAAACTTTGTGTCAGAAGCTGTTGGATGGTGTCTACTGAGATGGCTGCACTGGGCTGTAGACTTACAGGTGTGTGTGTGTGTCTGGATGTGAGAGTTGTTTTTTTTTTTTAATTTGTTTTCTGAGACAGTTTCAAAAATCAAGCTCCAGTGTAGCAGGGAATTTCCTGTTTTTCTGCAGGCTGCCTTTTCTGACTTGAACTGGGGCATAATATGAATACTGCTGTAGCAAATATGCTGGAGTTACTTTTTGTGTGATTAGTATAAATTCAAGGTTTATTAAACTGACTGTTGATGTGTTGTACTGAGTCTTGGAGGACTTAAAGTAAAATTGCTTGATTTTTACTAAGATTTACAAGCATCTCTTTCTGTTGTTTAATGCTCTTTTAGTGAGAAAGGTTTAAAGGTTTTCTGAGTCAGTTCCTCAGCCAAGAACAGGGAACTATAATTAGAATTTGTTTGAGAATGTTTACATTTTCAACACGGGGAGTTTTCTTTTTAGGGCCATAATTCAGGTATTCTCAGAGCTTGCAGCCTTACTAGCTTAGCTTGCAGCTAAGCAGATAGCTAAAAGCATCTGAAATGTATCCACTCGTCTACATAAGTGATAGTGTGACCAAAGTGTCCTAGTGTCTTATTGGGGCAGGTGAGCTGTGAGTGAGGCTAGTTAGCTTTGTTAAAGTATTTCTGTTGCAGCTTTGACAGTTATATAAATATGGTCTTTGAGTGGATTTGAGGGTGCACCAGCATAGGTCTTAGTTTTCACACTTCTCTCAGTAGAGACAGAACATTTTGGAGATGTTTGTCTCAGCATCAAGTGATCCAAGAAGGCATGAAGAGATGGGCTTCTGAGGTGCATGTGGCTTCTGAAAGTGAGTTGGGCAATTACTTAAGCTGAGCAGAGGCAGCTCCTGCTGATGAACCTATGAGGTTCAAGCAAAACTTGAAAACTCTTTCAAAGCGAATGTTACAGCCGTGCCTGCTCCCACCCCTTCTGGATTCTGTAGTCAGAGAGATGTGTGGGTAAAGCCTGTAAGAGAATATTTTACACTGGAATATGACAGATGCTTAAGGATGCTGTGTGGTTTCCATGGTGGATAAGAAATTCAGAACTACCCTGTGCAGTTAGTGACAGTGTTTTGTTTAAAAACCAACTGTTTATATTGTAACACTGTCTGCATTATGATATGTTTGGCCTTGAAAATGACATGCTTATGCAGAACTCCTTACAGATCCAATGGTACTTTCAAATATCCTGTGTGTAAGATACAGGTCACTGTATACTTTTCACAGAAGCATATGGTCACTTAAATACACACAACTGGTAATTCATTAATGGATGTGATGATGCATTCCTAGTATTTTGACTCATGTAGAGTCAGGTGGTCTATACCTTCAAGGTATATACAACTGATCTTAGTAACATTAACATCTGCCTCACTTCTTAGGAGGCAAAAAGCACATAAATGCTTCCATCTTCAACTAAATACCACACAAGACCAAAAAAATAGATGTAAATTAGGTGTTTTAGATCAGCCATTTCTTGGCTTTCTTCTGTGTTGGTAGCACAATATTAAGTGCAGTGGCAGAGCTGTAATATCGTGGGATTTCTTCTAAGTGTAAAGCACACTGTCAATACTTAACACCTTAAGATGATAAATAGCAGTATTGGTTACTGTACAGTGACAGTTTTTGCATTCGTAGGAAGCTTTGTTTACTGTTTGTAATGTGATGTTCATCTTTTGGCCCTGCTCCTCCACTGTCTTTTCCCCTGTTGACTGCTTCATGGTGTCATAGAAATTAAAGGATTTGACAAGTTGCTCTCCTTGTTTGGTTCCAAAGTACCACATTGGGTGACACACGGGGGGCAGCTGTGTGTGTGGGCAAGACCTCGTGCAATCTTGTGCTGAGTGGGATGGATGCACGCAGTGCTGCAGAGGGATGTGTTCTCCTCCATGTAACTGACGTGTGTGCCACCAGGAGCAACAGCTGTGAGAGGGCTGCAGCAGTCCCTCCTATTCCTCACCCATGTCTGCAGCAGCTCAGTGCTCACTGCTGTGTAGGAAGGACAAGCTGAAGGACAAGCTGGCCCTTTTTGTAACAAATTTACCCTCTGATGTACAGGAAGAAGGTAAAAAGAAAAGAGCAATCCCATCCATGCAACTTTCTTTGAATTTGTTAAGATTGGCCTACATTCTCCCTTCTTTTCCTCCTCTTTCAGAAACTTGGTGGGCTCAGGCAGTGCACAGTAGTTGAGCGTTATCTGTTCTGTATTTAAGCAGCATGTATAACTGGGAATGCCAAGTGCAAGAGTGCAGCTAGATCCTACTATTTTATGCATACTCTGATTTTTAAATTAATTCTTTATGTAGGTAAAGTCATTTCATTGGGGACAACTTACTACAGCCAATTTTGTAACCTCTTTAAGAAGAAATAAACTTTGTTTTGTTTGATTAGAAAGTTTATATGAACCATGAACCTTTAAATGCTTCAACTAAGGCTGTAAGGTCCCCCTGCCCTTCCTGTTCATATTTTTTTTGTTTTAGTGCTGACTTGAAACAATGTTAAAGGTTATCTAAGGATGCAAATATACCTGACTCTTCTCACCTGTATCTTTCAGGACCTAGTATCTTGTGCTCTTAAATGTACTGCTGTTGGTTAACTAGCAGCCTGTTCTAGCTGCATTATTAGCATTTGAATGTTAAAAAAATTCTGCTTTTGATCTTATCAAGAGAGAAATCGAAGCTGACAGCTGCTTTGATGTGGATTCCAGACCAACCTGGTGTGCAGGTGATGTCTGCAGCTGGAGATAACCTCTGCCACCTCTTCCTGCCTTGCCCAGTGCCCTTCGTTCAGACGAAGTCTCTAACACTGCCCAAAGAACCTGTGATGCTCCTCCTTTCTTCGAGGCATGAGGAGCTTGGGCCATGTGTTGTCCATCTGCTACACAGTTCTAGTTGCTGTATTTTTGGATCACTTGTGATTGATGATCTCAGAGTCTGTAGTCAAAACCATGGAAGGAGTTTTGTGTTAAATTAGGATTGAATGTGACTTTCAGAATCCCCACTGTACACAACAATTTTGGGAAGCTGGAGCAGAAAAGTTGGGGAGAAGGCTGTAGCTCATCTCTATGCTGACCATCTCCTTGCTCTCCCATCCTTCTCCTAGTTGATCTTTAGAATTGAACATCAGAAGAAATCCTTATTTTAAATTCTTAAGTTGATGAAGTTCAAGTGCTAATGAAACTGTGCTAAACTTGGCCTTAATTATTGGTTATTAAATCTTTTCAAGTCCATTTATATTGGGTGAGCACCACTGGAGATGCAGCAATGATGTTATTTTGTTACGAACATATTAATATTTATTCATTCATTTGCACTTCATCTTGTTTTCTACTACTGGGTTCCATTAAAACAGTCCTGTCATTAGAATCTGGCTGCTCTAAGAATTTACCAAGAGATCTGAATTTGGAGTGAGATGAAAATCCTTTAGTCACGCTTTTAACTTCCAGTAATGTGAAGGCAATCTACCTGCCTTTAAATGCAAGAAGCAACTTCCTTGTACCATCCATCTGAGATCATGCAGAAGGCTGTTCTTGTGAAGGAGCTGACATATGAACATTTCGGACCTCCATGTGAAATGACCATAAAGAAATGCAGCGTGATGGCAGTACCTGTGCTGGGAATGTAATGGTTGTGTTTAAATGCCTAAGGAGGAAATGAGCTGATGTATGACCCGTTTTTCCCCCAGCCATAGGTTTTCTCAGCCTGGGCGGAAACACTTGGTTTCACAAAATCATTGTGGCTGTTTCCACTCTGGCTTTATATTGTTTTATAGAACAAATTGGAGCCTCTTGTCATTTTTTTTTTTTAGATGTGGAATTCAAAGTACTTTTGTCTAATTTGGTCTGAGTCCTGTTGCTTTAAAATAAGCGGACAGAAAAACTGATACGTTTGGGTCAAGGATCTGAAATCTTAACGTGCATAAAATGTACATGTACACAAAAGGAGGATAGGTGTCCTTTACTTTCTTGGGCTGAGAACCAAATCCTACATTACCTAGATAAAAAATGTGCATTACTCTGAAATGCACTGTCTCTAAAATCTCCACTGAGGAGACGAGAGCATTAGGGTGCTGCTGGCCATCCATCACACCTGGTCACCTTCAAGTGGCCTATGCTGGTGTGTCCATAAGAGTTACAGTACTGAATGAGTGCTCCCGTTGATGTTGCTACTGCTGTCACTGGATGGCAGCAGGTACTTCCCCTCATGCACTTCCAGTTGAATGGATTTAGTTGTACTTTGTTGGTCCGGTTTGTGCTTAAGGCCTTGTTGAGTCTGTAGTCTTGAGCAACAGCTTTTCTTTCACGTGGTGGTATGTTGGACCAAGGTAAAACATGCTGAAAAATGACACTTTCCTTGCTAATGCAAACAGAACAATGTTCTGTATGAATACCTTCTCCCCACCAAACCCTTCTTAGAGTATTTTAGGTCATTCAGAAATATGTTTTGCAGTGTTCTCAGTTGTGGTTACTTTGCTGTGTTACAAAACTTGATGAAAATAATTCTTGCTGCCTTGGTCAGGTTGATTTTTTTGTGTGTGTGAAAAGCCATGGTTGTAGTTTTTTCCCCATTGTTTGAAATGTTACATCCAGTGTTTTGTAGGAAGAAGCTTTTTTTTTTTCTTATTGTGTTTTCAATAAAGTGTGATTCATAATGGGGTTTTGATTCTATTATTTAAAGCAATGAGAAAGATCTGTGGCATTCCAAGCATTCTGAATGGTTCTGTCAGTAGTTGGTGTGAATAGCTGCATTCCCTTCCATCCCTCCTGCATTTCATGTATTTTTGGGATTCTCTTAGAAAAAATTACGTGAATCTCCATCACATACATACATCATGTACACTCAGAGGTGTGACAGCCCTGCTCTTAAAACAAGTATGTGATGAATTCCAGCACTCCAAGCAAGTGAGGATTGTTCATAGAAAAGTATCCTGATTGTGTGATGTTAACAGTATGACTGAAGTACAATTCTTAATTTCTTTAATAATGTGACGGTTCTTAAACTCTTTGAAACAGTCTCACTGGAGGCTTCAGTGTTGTTTTCTTTAAAAGAAGTCCAAGAATTGTACATTTGGAAAGGACCTGCAGACATCTGAGCCATTCAACTGCACAGGATCAAAAATACCTGTGTTAGTCCCTAAGATGCAGTTAAATACCAGGAATATCTGTGACTTCTGTGCTGTCTGATAATGTATTGTTGTTTAATTGTCCAAGGTTTCCTAAATGTGAAGTGTAAGAGGTCCTTGCTACGTGATAAGCTTTAATTTGGTTCTCAAGTGTCCACAGTAAGCAAGACAACTCTTCTGCTTGCATGAGCATTTCCAAGGCTCAAAGGCTGTATTTGTCTTCTATTTAACAAGTGACTTCCCCAGTTCTCTCAGCAGTTTGATGCTGTCCTCTGTAGAAACCTCTTACCTAAGGAATTCCTATCAGAGTATTTGTCTATTCTAGCTCAAGTCTTTAAATGCATGTACCTGGAAATGTGATGACTGCCTCACTTGATGCTTGATACAATCTGATATTGTTAGCATTATTTGAAAGCTCTCTGAAAGTTAATCAGCCATTGCCTTTTTATGCAAAATGATCTTTCTTGTTATTTTTATGATTCTTTTGTTGTAGCTTCTGTGAGATGGTCTTTGTGCTTAGACTTACAAGTTACATGTGGTGACCTGAATTGGTTTCAGCAACCAATAACCATATTTTTATTCCTGCTAAAATAGATGAGTACTTACTGTTTCCACAGTTCTCAGAAGTTCTGAAGTGATCCTTGATCTTTGAGGGTCATTTCTTATTTGCAAACAGCAAACTGGGATTGGTCACAGTTGTTCAAGCAGAAGCAGCAACTGGGGTTCTGCTTGGAGAGCTTAGCTGAAGGAAAATGCGTTTCTTGCAGTGACCCCAGTGACAGTATTGATTGTTCTTGTGAATGGGAGCCTCTGCTACCACATATCAGGCATAAAACCACAATGGTAAAGGATAACGGGGGTTCTGCTGAAGGAACACAGTGCCTAAATGAACTGTGCCTCATCACTGGGAGAGAGAAATGAAAATGACGGAAGGTGAAATTGCCAGAGGGATGGAGATGAAAAATGTCAAGAAAGGTGAAACTGACTATTAAAGTAGAGCAACAGCACTCAACTTTTATTGCTCCAAAGACAAGGTGAATGCCATTGTACATAAAAAAAAATTACTTAAAAGATCTGGATCTTAGGTTCCCCAGTTAGAAACATGCACATGCATTGTCGGCTGTGCTCTGCTAGGAGGTACTTCACTGAGCTGTGGGTGTCAACACTTGAGGACCTTCTTTTGATAATATGAGCGGCACAAAGGGCAAATATGTTGCACTCCCAAGGAAAACTCTTCAAACGCTTCAAGACAGGAATGGTGAAACAAATGTGAACAAGAAAGCAGAACGGTCGGTCGGGAAAACGGGTTGCTGGTACCAGAAAAAACACAGGCAGGGTGAGCAGTAGGGCTGAGTGGCATGATACAGATAGGACAGTCAACTATCTCCTGCCGAAATGCCTAAGTAAATACAACAGAAAAACCTCTACAGTAGTGAAGCAATGTAAATGTATCAATGAAATTACTAATTAAAGCATTCAAACTTTATGATTGGTATATTTTGACAAATGAACAACATTTTGACTCTCAATTTTGTCTTCGGTCTCCTTGGGCTCTTTAATTGAAACGAGCAGAGATGCTGCTGAAGTAAAAGGAGACTTCTGAAATATAAAAGCTTGTTAAACATTCCTGATTTAGAATAGGTTATACTAAAAAACTTAACTCCCCTGTCCTCCCAAAAAATCTCAATTGTGCTGAAGACTGCCGTGTTTTTTTTTGAAGGGTGTAAAAGCTGGTAAGTTTGGATTTCTTAAACAAACAAAGAAAAAAAAGCCAGCCAACCTGCATCTGGATCTTCTCCCAGTCATTTTCACTGAGGAGTATTTCTTTTCCTTCCAGCTGCTGAAATGCATCCCGACATGCAGCTATAGAAGAATCTATCTTAGAAAGAAAATCATCTAGGTTTATGTCATAAGAACTCAGCAGCCGATTGCTAATCTGTTGAACCTGAAAAGAAAATGGATTGCTGTTAGATTGAAAACTTAATTGGAAAACAGCCATTTTTCAGGGAGGAGGGTATGGGAAGTGAGGGGTGGGGTAATAGCAGCTGTTGTTAGGTCAGTACCTGAACACCTTCTTACTGTTTCATTTCAGTTTTGGGCAGTTTTTCACACCAAGACATGTGCTCCCCTTATAACTGCTAAAAGTGACCCTTCATAGCATATGATGGAATATTCAAAGTGAACTCTTTCAGACCTGATGGAAGCAAGAAGCCAAATCCAATGGCTACACAAATAATAACAAAAGAGAAAAATCCATACAACAAAAAAAAAAACAACCAACAAACTGCCAACAAAAATCAACCAACCATGGAAGTATCTGAAAAGCTTGCTTAGCATTTAGTTTTCAAACTTTCAGTTTCCCATTTCCTTCTGAAACTATGAAAAACCTCACGGTAGCAGCTGATGTTTTCTAAATATATACACATTCATGTAATGTGCCAGTATGAGAATGTTTTCCACTGAAAGCTGTAGTTTCTCAATAGAGACTTGAAGAAGACAAACATTAGAAGAGGGCAGATAAGAAATACTGAGATCTATAACACAAGAGAAGTCAGTTGGTTCTTGATGATGTTTTATTCTTTTTTGTAATAGTTTGATCCACTGATAACTAAGATATATTATGTCTTATTGTGTTCAAAAATGATCTCAAGCACAACAGTATGTTGAAAGGATGTATCCGTATGTTGGAGCCAATCAGATTTAGTTACCAGTGCAAGGTAATGCTGATGTATTAACTTAGTGCAGCTAACTAAAAACAAAATCCTTCTGAGGCCTCCTGTGGAGTGTATTTAAATCATGCGATTTGAAAAGCAGCAGAACTTTCTGTACTTTCTGGAGACGTTTTATATCTGGCAAAGATTGGATGGATGTTCTTGTGCTTCCTTTATGATTGCTCACTGACAAGAAAGAAAAAAATTCTAATTCTATCTCATGCAAACAGTGACTTTTAGTGGTATGTGTGCAGGAGGAAACAAACAAAAATCCCACTGCAGGCCTTTTCCAGTATTTACACTATGGGGTTTCCAAACAATCCCAAATGATAACTGAGACACAAAATAAGCTGATTAAAGTGCAGCATATTGGTCTATCTTTAATGGTTTCTTGTAAATCTATATTCAGTGAAGATTACTAGGAATGTCACTGGTTAATCTGAACTGCTGTCACCTAAGTTCTAAAACCAGACCCGCTCCACACGGTAACATTAATTGCTCTCTCTGACTTCATTTTAAAACCAGACTTCAGAAGGTATAGGATAAGATCATAGAATCATAGAATGACTTGGGTTAGAACGGCCTCAAGGATCATCAAGCTCCAGCCCCCCTCCCCTGCCTACCTCATTATCTAATACTAGAGCAGGCTACCCAGGGCCCCATCCAACCTGGCCTAAGATTACACCTAAAAACCTTACATAATTACCAGTTTCTGGTCTGCATCAAGGAAAAGTTGATCCAGATGAAAACACTTTGTATCCTGATTTATGCTCGATCTTCATTTATGTCAGCTTCAATCATGAACAGACCTGAACTGTTTTTGTAAGGAAGCTAGGGCAATGTAACTGAAAGCTAGAGCAGCCACGAAGATGCTTTAACTTTCTCTGTGAGCCTCTCAGGACCCAAAACGTGGGGAAAAACAACTACATTTTAACTCATCCCTGATCCAGTGTCTATTTCTGTGAATCTGAGAGCAACGCAATCAGCATCCAGTCAGTTCCGTGACCCGGCCCGTCTCTGTGCACTGTGGGATGATTAGATCGACTGCTGAGTGAAATTAACCAACGAGAGCTGAAAGCGGGAGGCAGAGAAAGCGGCTGGAGCTGCATTAAAGTGAGTCGTGTCCCCTTTCTTCCTGTGCTATTTGTTCCCTTTTCCCTCAGCAGGGAGAAGCTCCATTTCTTCCCTGAGCGTGCACTTGTGCTTCTCTACCCCATTTCACTAAGTGATCCTGAGAGTCCCCTCATGAGCTGCTTTGCGCAGACACTGTAAAGGAGAGAGAGGAAAATTCTTTTCCTGCCTAAGAGGATGGCGTTCTATTAAGTTCCCTGCTGCTAAGGCACTACCTGCTTTGAGCTGCTCCTGTATTTTCTGCAGCATGGCCTGACCCAACCCACATCCCATCGATCAGCAAATTAAGCCTAGGGTTGAGAAGGAAAAAAATTTAACCAAAATATAACCCCAAATTTATGTTAACTGGCAAATCTGTACTATCAAAATAAACAGAAAGTAATGAGCACTTCATATCATTTGTTAATCTTACGTTAATATGTTCTAGGATTTAAATAATAAATCCTGCTGTGTAGCACCCATTTTTTTTCCAGATCTGAAACTAACTGAATTTATTTCTGAAAATGCCATACCTCTATTTCGTCTGTAACTTCTTAAAACATGAATAGCAAAGCATAAGCTGAGGATTTCAAATACTCTGTTGGTATGCAAAACTGCTTCAGTCATCTGTAGGGCAGCACAAGGCTATGATAAAGCAAAACGATGAAACAAAGCACCGGCATGAACTTTGTCCACAGGGAAGCCTTTTAAAGTGATCCAGTGTCAGCAAATTGCTTACTAATGTGTTGACTTATGGCAACCCTCAAAAGTAAAATGAAAAGGCTGGAATTTACAGCATATCAATGAATCAGTTGATAAGCTTTTACTGGTTTAATATCCTCCTCGTTTGGCTGCTTGGAGCCACTTCAAGTTAGCAACAGAATGTTTACCATCTCCATGTGATAAAGGAAGTCAAACGACTAAACAAATTTTAAGACCATTATACTGTTTGGTGAGATTTAAATTAAAATTGTTGGGAGAAATCGCATAGAGGGGGGAGAACGAACCTAAAGTCAGCCACCCCATCTCACAGTGACTTACCCAGCTTCCTAAACAATGGTCAACACATTTAGCAAAGCTGGAGATAATGTAATGCGTTTGAAAAGATTTAATTGCACCAATAAAAGGCTATGCCTCAATTAAATGACGTGCACAAGTGACATTTATGGATAGGATCAAAGAAATTTGCTACCTCATATGCTGAAGCAACGCCCTGTTTCTGCGTGCAGTAGTGCTAAAAAGTAGCACGCTTTGGTTTCTGACCTTTTGTACCTCCTTTGATCTGAGTTATTAGAAATTTTAATCATAGGTGTAATAAGTAATATCACACCAAAAAAAGTGCTAATATTTCAGACTTCATTTCTTATTTTGTGATATTTATCTAAGAGTGTGAAACTTGGCATTTAACCTTTGCGATTCTTCCAGAAGAGGCAGGATTATTAAAAATATGATTTTTTTTTTTCCACTTGAGGTGCTGTTTGATTATGCTAACATTTAGGAAGTGACATTTTAAAAGCGCCACAATTTTTTTGAGGCAAAACTTATTTTAGGAAAGCTTTTTAGTGTCTGGAAATGGATAGATTCTTGTGAAAAATTTTTTCAGTGTTTTCTTTGACCTGCATTTAAGTGTGTAAGAGCTAACTCCAGGAAAACTCATCTGTCATCTGGTATATATCCTTTAATCATAATTGGCACCAAATTCATTGAAACCTGGCTAATCCAGGTTTAAATGGATGTTGTGGATGCCCCATCCCTGGAGGCATTCAAGGCCAGGCTGGATGTGGCTCTGAGCAGCTTGGTCTGGTGGTTGGTGACCCTGCACATAGCACGGGGTTGGAACTGGATGATCATTGTGGTCCTTTTCAACCCAGGCCATTCTGTGATTCTAAGATTCTATGAATCCATGTGTGACAACTTTATAAATTTATTCTTAAGAGAAAGTAAAGAAGTAGTGCCCATTTTGTTCCCTACAAATCCTGAAATGTTATGTATGAGAATGATTTCCCAATGCTGTGAATGCTACATGAAATCTGTTAGAGATTATCCTATGGTTTACAATCATCTGATGAAATGTAAGCAGTTTTATGTTTGTTTACCCCTAAAAAGAATTTCCCTAAGACAGGGGCTCTACAAGCTAACACTCCGTGGGTAGTTTAGTGAGAGCTACTGTACACATCTGTATTCAGCTGAGAGAAATTTTAACAAGTGATGCTCAGCTGAAATTTTCAGCATATTTAGAAATGTTCTTCAGCTTCTCTTTACTGAGACAAGGTATGTAGCTAAGGATGGTATTCTGAGCCCACTGAAAGTGGGTAGCCTTGTTGGGAAAGAGGCAGAGGACTTTTGTTCCCAAAGTCATTCATGCAGAAAAATCTGTTTCTGTTGTCTGTTCTCATCATGATACTTGAGGACAGTCACAGTGTACTGAAGTATTTATTCACTTCTTCCAAACATAACTGTTTAAGCACCCTCCATCCAATCCACCTCCAGTGCTGAAGGACCCTCCATCATTGGCCTGAAGCTGGAGAAAATCAAATCCACAGAATGGAGCTACCCAGTTCAGTGCCATGTGAAGGAACACTGACAATGCAAAGAAGTCATGATTGTTTATGGATTAATTAATTTCTCCTCTTACTAAAACATACCCCCTCATAGAAAACAGATTATTGTGCCTAATCACAAAGAGGAAGGAAATACAGAGTCTCACAAAAAGCCTTGTACATACAGAACGACATATAGGATATTACATATTAAGGTAGGCTGTAAGAATCTGAATTATTTTCCCTACTTTTACATTGAAAATAGGGTAGGATGAGGAGACTAACAGAGTGTCTCCAGTGCTGCTTGCTTGATATGAGTGACAAGGAACAAATGAAAAGGTAGAGAGATGACACTAGAGTGTAGAGAGAAAAGGTAGAGAGATGACACTTAGAGTTTAAGGGAGCTGAATCAGATCAAAGGATGGACCAAAGAAGCAAATGAAACATACCTTTTCCTCAAAAAACTGTTTTCTTAGTTTGTTGTCTTTAGGAGGCACTGTTTTTCTCAAGTTTTTATACCATTTTCTAACAACGTATCCCCTCCAGGAGGCTTGAATTCTGTAAGAAATAAGATTGCTCAGGAGGAAGCTTAAATTTACATTATTTTACTCTTCATTTCTTGTGTAGTTTCTCATTAGAATTTTAATTCAGAATATTATTTAGAAATAAATAAAGCCCAGTGATGGCAGCTCTAGCAGAAGCAAGGCTTACCTGACTGCACACTTTATTTTATACAAGCGGGCCCCGTCATGTATCACTCTGGTCTGATACTGCTTTTTCCTGCACATAGGACAAGACTTTTTGCCCGTAAATTTTTCAAAGGCTTTCAGACAGGCCTGAAAAAATCATTGCAATTATCTACTATGTATTTGATATCACTTGTAAGGATGAAAGAGGGTAGATTACAGAATGTAAAAAATATTTATTCGGCAAGCCATGAACACCATATGAAAAATACATATTTTTATAACTAAAATGCTAAAAATATTGTAAAGCTATGTATATTCTCATGATTTTTTTTTTGAGTTAGGCTGTTCTTGTTTGGTATATGTAACTCAGTTACAAACTATGTTAAAGTTTTTAAAAGACAATACAATGGGATAAAGAGCCTCATCATTCAATAGTTTGAAATTATATTTCTTATCTGAAGAATCTGGAATTAAAGTTCCTTTTCAAGGCAATTACATTAATTCACTGAGATATTCACTTAAGTAACTTAAAACACATACTATATGCCTCAATAGTTAAATAAAACCATACTCACTTTATGGAATACATGGGAACATGAAAGCAACACCTGTTTTACAAAGAAAAAAACAGAGAAAACTATTTTTAATCCATTCTAAAAGCTGAAGAGTAAAAAAATATTGACAACAAGGAAAATCCTGACCGTCTGAAAGCTCATCACTTTCTTCTGGTGACTAGTGCATTCTTTCTGGTAAAAATAATATCAGTCTTCTGTAGGAATTACTTAATAAATTACAGCTTAACCCAGTATGTGAATTCGGTGTTAACAATACATGGAGTGGCAGAAAGTGAGAGTTGCCAACTGCTCTTAACTAGAGCAAAACATTCTGGAACAAGTATTTAAAATGAAAGGTGATTTCTTCCCCCACCCCCTTCCCCATAAAAACATAAAAGTTCAAGAAGTGATATAAATCAAATGCAGCATTTCATACATTTAAAAAAAACCCATCAAAATACACAAAAAGATGGAAAAAAAAAAAAAAAAAAGAGAGAAAGCATGTTCACGGGCTACAAGAAAACTTCACCTTTATCTGACCTAAGTTCCCACCAAATGCTGATGATCTCCATCCCAACAAAAGATAGAGTTGGACAAAAACAGCAGTTGGCTCTTAGAGGAAGGGAAAATTGGGGAAGGAGTGGAAACCAGAACAAGTAGTGTGCACTATTGAGCTGGCAAACACAAAAGGATTAATGGCTAGCGGCCAGCTCAAGGGAAAGCTTTCAGATACAGTGGCTTTTTTCCCTAGAGGGAGGAAAGCTAACAGAAATTCCGAGGACAAAAAAAAGAATTCCAGAGGCATTTCCCTTTTTGTGCCAAATCTAAATTAACCTTCTTAATGACTGCTGTCTTTTGCTCTCTCTTGTCCAGTTTTAGACTTCTAGGGTAGAATGGTCTTTTGCCAGATCCGTCCCACCTGTCTTTGGACAACTGTACACCTACAGCTAATGTTCACATAGAGGGAAGCAAAACCCTTCCTTCTAGGGTTTGTGAGAGCAGCACTCCTCTTCAATCAGTCACTCATCCCTTTTGTTTCACGTTTCCAAGATGGTACATGACAGGACATAATAAAGCACGGAGGATGCGCTCACACTACATGTGTGGCATTGAATAAAGACACCAAGGTAAAATGTTATCTGAAAAAATGCTCACATAACTAAGAGACTGAATAGTACTAAGAGCACACCTACTTCCATTTTCCAAATGGAAATAACTACTGCATTAAACTACAATGTAGTAAAACTTGTGAGAAAACAAAATATAACTTACATTGATTAATTAGTGCGTATTTATAATTTTGATTAACAAAGCCAAAGTTCATATCTAATGGGAATTTAGATGGAACAAAATATAGCCTATCATTGCTTTGAAAAAAATCAAGGAAAACTGCTGATTACCTTTTCCTGTGATAACCACATCAGTGAACAAAATTACCAACCTTTTTCTACCACCCCACTTGCAAAGTACATCAGAGTTGACCAACAATGCAATATACTGCTAAATACTAAATGACATCTTAATACTAAATACTTTAATAATACTAAATACTTAATATTAAAAGCTGCTGAATACTAAACGGCATCTTAAAGTTGAACCTCTCAGTTCTTTCTTCTGTACCTCCAGCTAGTGACATTTGGGAGTAACTTGGAAAATCTGAGTTAAATACAATGGTGTAGTCCACAGTTACACTCGTACCTGAGGCTGAAGTGCAAACTCTTCCCTGCATATAGCACAGGGCTGGATGGAATCTCCATGCTGTATGGATCTCTGCTTTACTTTTGCCCATTCTTCAGCAGTTAGAGGCAGGGAAGGGGGCTCAACTAGTCCTAATTTCTGAGCTGCCAACAGTAAGAACAACAAATTACCAGATAAAATCCACTGGCAGATGCAGGTAATGGATGTTCGCCTTGTGAAGTTTGTTGATCATACATTTATTTAAAAATAGTGTATACAAATGCTTCATACAAATTTATCATCTCACAAAACACTGGCAGGCAACATACTTCCTAATAATCGTTAGCTGTTTACTAATTTTCAGAACTTCTTTTAGATATAAGATTTATACAGGGATTTTTTAAATTCAAGCTTCTATTTGCCAAGTAATATGAATGTGATACCTATCCACAGCTATTAAGATGGGGATTATTAACTATGCAAAGTAACAGTGCACAATAACACAATTTCAAAGTGTCAGTACAAACAAAATCTGTCAGAATGTGTTTGTAAAGGTTTATTAACTTCACATTTCTGTATTCTTGAAACAAAGGAAAAGGAATAAAGTGGTATAATAAAAAACAGTTGCTGATGTAAAAATGTAAGATGAGACTGTGATGGATAAAATTGAAGGAGCAAAAAGAAACAAAAGAGATGGTCACAGGACACCAGTTGCAGGGGCATTGTGACAGCTCAGCTAGGCAGTCTCAGATGATAACTGTGAAGTACCACGCTGAATGTGCATGATAAATCTGTCTTCTCAAAGAAGGAATTTGTGAAAATACAGTATTTCTCCCACTTATGGGATATAGGCCAGGATCAGTAAAAGAAAAATGCTAGTTGGTACAGTAAAGAATAGACCTATGTCATTTTGAAAAGCAGAGGAAACTTCTATGGGCTGAATGAAGATAGCGGAGGAATGCTTGAGGTATTTGCAATAACCTAAAACGTGAGTCCATGATGGGGCATCCATCATATTTGCTAAAATCAGAAAGGAAGACGTGTATTAAATAGTTAGAATGTGAAGCAATGATGGTGAGTAGAGAGCTTTGGTTGTAAGTGAGAAAGGGCCAACTCTTTTACTTGTACCACAGAGCAGATCCAATCAAACTCTTGGCATAAAACTTCCTTATAGCAGAGAACATCCTTCAAATCTGATCCAACATCCAATCATCCAACAAATCTGATTTCATATCTTATCTTTACTAAAAACAAAAATCAAGTTTAACCTGACAATAATGAGTATCAGTGGATGAGTAAGAAAAGAGGAACCTATCTGGATGGCCCAATAGACAAATGTGGATAGTCTTTATAATGACAGAACCTGGATACAGAGCAAACCAGTCACAGCGTGGAAGACAGTATTACAGAATAAAAATGCCTACCCTTTATTTTCTTCCAATCAGGAACTGTTTTAGGGAGGACAATGGGATGGCACTGGGGAAGCCCTTTGTACATCCTCAGAGTGGAAAAAAAAATGAAAAAAAATAAAGAAAGCTTATTAAAAACTTCCACAAAAAGATGATTAAAGTTGCCAAATAGAGAGAGATTGGAGGCAAAACTTAACTTCTAAATAATATAAACCAGATGGGATATTTGTGAGGGACAGGTTACACAGGTGTTTAGAAGGAAAGCTATTACACAACACAGTTGATGAAGGAAAACTGGCAGCAGGACACAGAAGAAGTGATATGTGATTGATGTAAAAGGCTCTGTGAAGATATTTTTGAAGCAGCACTTGGAATAAATATAAGTAACGAAAGCCTACATTTATCACAGCTCAAGAGATCCAAGAGTTTTCATCCTTACGCACTGTTCAGAAGCCCAACCTGCTTACTGACACACTCACTTTACAACTGAGTTATTTATCCTAGAACATTAGCAAAGTAATTACATACAATAACCTCTAAGCCCTTATAATTAGCTTTTAGGATGCAAGCCCCCGTTGAGAAAAATTTAATGACCGAACCCTTGGAGGTTGTTTGATTACCTACAAACTCAAGAAGGAAAAAACGCATTAAATTACGTTTTCAAAGTTGCTTCACAACTTAAAGGTTTAAAACACAGAGTTCTTAAAAAGAAAAAGTCTGACGCAAACATTACACATTAATGAGAGATTACAGGTGAAAATACTAATAAGCCAGCGCAGACACAATGGCAATGACTTCTTAAAATCTTTCAGCACATTCTTTGGAATCAGTTGCACAAACATTCATATAGGATCTCTCAGTCAGTGCTGGGATTTAAGGAGAAAATACTTTGCCTTATAGTTGCAGAGAACATGCTCACACTTGGTCTGCATTTTTTCACCACAACCTTTAGCTTCCAGAATCGCTCATTATTTGTATTTGCGTTAACCCCAGTAGCTCTCTGCTGGCTTTGTCCCCGGAATCCTCTCCTCTTTCAAATTCCTCTTCAAACGGAACCAAAGAAAAAAACCCTCCCATCTTTAGAAGTATAACCAAGCAAACATACTAATAATCACCTTGTCTTACTACCTTTGTCCAAACGCTTGCTACACTCACTTATTGTGTATTATCTTAAGTTACCCTCTCAACCTCACGCTGATTCCAAAAGGCAGATGCCTGTGCTTGTATGGAGCCTCATTGATTTACATGGTTCTCTTTAGAGCTTGGACTACTGTGACAGCTCCTCCAGCAAAGGCAACATGATCTTCAGAGAGGCCTCAGGGTGTTTTTATAAAAAAAAGAATAAATAAAACAATTATTAGAGATGATGAAATTCATTACGTTTAAGACTGTAAATTGTGGAGCTGCGAGACTCTAAGAAAAGACTAACGAAGACAACTAAAAGGATGGAGGTGAGATGATCAAGGCAAGAATACCATAGAGACACTTAAAGGGAAGCAAAGAATGGAAACTGATTGCTAGGAAGCACATTTGGAGCCCTGCTCTGCTGAGACGCTTCATGGATTTCTGGTTTTTTTTTTTTTTTTAAAGCAGTGTTATCTGTCACTGCTGTACAACTGCGTTATTATAATACTATTTAAAACTGAGTTTTCTCACCAGGCATCATTCCAAGCCCTCACATCTGTGACTTTTATCTTGTTGCATGTTTGTTTCTAAATTTGAAAAAGGTATTTAGCTACAGGTGTTAATTCTTCCTGGATTTAGCCCCAGGACCATAGTAAAAACAAACCTTTTTAACTTTGAGTAAAGGTGGGTATATATTAACAGAACACATTTAACGCAGCACAAGTGTCTTTTTACTGAATAAGGAATAAAAGAAACCATTTCAAAAAGACATAAAAATCATCTTATTCATACTGCAATCTTCAAAATAAACACAGTATCCTAGCTTAAGATGAGAATATAAGGTAATGAAAGTTACAGTAGTCAATAGCAAAGCATATTCAAAAGGTGGAAAAGACTTCCTGCCCTTTAATGAAGAAGAATTCTTACTCAAGTTGCTCTATTTTTTTTTTTCCTTTTTTTCCTTTTTTCTTTTTTGACATTCACTGTCATAAGAAGAATAAGTCCTAATACATTTCTAAAGCCGTATTCAAGCCACTGATGACAATTCCACTGCTTAAATGACCATTCACATGGCGGTCTAAATGGTCGGATATTGACAAATTTAAAAGTAAGAACTTATGCTGTTTAGCACTGAATTACCTTATTCAATAAGAAGTCTAGATACCTCATTTTAGTTATTGTAAATAAAAAGTCACAAATGAGAATATAAAGAAGTTTACCTAAGGTTAGCCGTGGAGGATTGGGATCAAGAACATACTCCTTTTCCTCATCTTCTTTATTCTTCTGGTGAGTGCTCTTTTTTTGTAGCCCAGTATCTACCACTGCTTTGACCGTGTCTTTGTTCACAAGTCTGTAAATGTTCCTGATGTTCCTTGACCTTGATTTAAAAGGATCTGCTAACGAAAGACCTTGGAGCTGATGACTCTGTATTATATGATCCTGCAAAGCAACTGCAGAAACTGCTATCCCCTCTCGTTCAGAGGCGAGGCCCTAGCAAGGAAAAAAAAAAGTTTCCATAATTATTATTGCAAATGATCTAAAAAGATATATGTGATACTAAATTAGAAGAAATCTTAGCCAAAGTGTTTGACTTGTCAAAGGCTTTTATCCGCACGCAACTCGCTTTACTTGAAGCCTAACATACAATTACAGTGACACGAAGTCTAAGATTGATGCTTCTGACACATCCCAGTTTTAACATACAAAAAGCAAAATCATATCTTTGATTTGTTGTTCATATTAAATAAAATAGCAGTAATTTTTCAGTTTTAATTACGGAGTCCATAATTATTGTATGCAATAAACTCATCATGGACTATAAAAGTCTGGCGTGCCCAAGCACATTTAATTTCAATTAAAAACAATCCCAAGGGTAACATGGTTTCCCAGAACATTAAATGCGAGAGATGCTCTGAAAGTAATGCCTCCTACTTTATTTTGTTGGCCCAGAACATCAGAGGTGGATGTTGGTGATATGCCAGTAGAGGTTGAACATTCCTGCCAATATTGTTATGTTTTTTTTGCTTTGTGACAGATGGCAGCAGAGGGGCAAACTGACAGTATGGCATCTGACACAGAGATGAGTATGAAGAAAAGGTGAGTCACTGAATTCCTCCAGGAGGAAAAAAATTGCACCCATTGACATTCATTGACCCTTGCTGAACATTTATGGAGACCAAACAGTGGATGTGGGTGGGTAGTGGGTTTCAACGGTGACAACAGCAGTGGGAAAGACAGGCCATGCTCTGGATGGCCATGCAGATTTTCATGAGCCACACAGGGTCTTGTTCATTGCATAGCTGGTGGAAGTGCATAGCTAATGGTGGTGACTATGCTGAAAATTAATGTTTTGCAGATGAGAATTTGCTCTGTCAAACAGTGATACTGTGCTCTTTGTTTCATCTTCTGGGGAAATAAATAGGAGGAATTATTTTTGGAGCAAATATATTATTTGTATGCAGGTAATGGGTTCATCTGCCTGCTCCTCCAGTTCTCCCCATCCTTCTGCCTTCTTTCAAAGATGTGCAGTCATACCTTGTAAAAATGGTGATGCTCCATCGATCATCTCCAGACAGATCTGCAAAAGTCAGTTGGCTCTCGGAACAGAAACGTTGCCAGAAATGCCTGGCAACGAAAGGCCTGGGTGGGGCAGAGAACCTGGAGTGCTGGGAACGCACAGCCTTCAGCCAAATGTTCTGCTATCAGTGCTGTGTTAGCACCAGCGGGGTGTTTATCTACCATCTAATGAGGATAATTTCAATCACCAGTGGCTCCAGCCTGAAAAACACCATCAAGTTGGATAGCGTGGTTGTTGTGGCTGTCCTTCTTGCTGGGTGAGGAGAAGGACTCACATTTTCTCCTGTTAACCAAAACAAGGCTATCCCGTTTGAAGTTGTGCACTGGTGGCTCTGAGAGAAGGAACACGATCGCCATTTTGCGTGACTTGCAATTTTTTGCAAATCTATAGAGTTATTAAAAAAATAACGTATACACAGAGAAGAGATGAGCTGTATCCATAAAGATGAAACCAAAGACCCCTGTCAGCTGGTGTCCTGCCCTCAGTCCCGGCAAGAAATGGTGGCTCAAGGGGATGCATCTCCTGCTGGGACTTTTCAGGATTTGGACCTAACCTGAGACAGAAGCACTGCCCCTCTTTGTGATAACCACTGGTGTCCATCTCTCTGGCCCAGAGAGATGAAGTGCAAAGGCATTTTTAGCCCATAGTATGAGCATAGGCTTTCACTGGCTCTTTCCCTTGGCATTCTCACTTGCAGATCCTTTATCTCCCAAGCAGAGGACAGGCACAGATGCTGCCTTAAATCCAGGTGTGCCGTTTTAATAATATGAGTTTAAATAGCATTCAAAGTCCTTCTCAAGCGCTACTGACCTAAAAATATCATTTTCTTATCATTTTCTTGTAGAAGTGACATTTTCCAAGAGAAAGGAGTGATGTTGTCCTGAGAGTAATCCTTTGAGCAGAATATAAATGGAGTGATTAATCCACTGGATGCATTTCTTCTCTGTAATTATAAGTAATTACTTTAAATTCAAATCTGGAAATGAGAATACCTCTGTAGTGCAAGGGAAGATGTAAAAAACATCTCAAGTGGCTATAATGACACGAAATCACCCTTTGTTTCTGAGGACAGAAAGATAAAATAACAGTTTTTAAAGTGAGCTTGCAAGTTTGCCTGAGACCCAACCTGACTCCGTAATACTATAAAGGGAGATTTTATAATATATGCTTTTAAAGATATTTTTAGTAATAAATTTTACCAAGCAAATAAAGCACAAAACTTGTTTTTGTGCTGTCTAAAATTTATTTTGAAGTGTGAATGCTGTAATAGCTGCAAAATAAATCTGTTGTATTATAGAAAAATCATTAGCTATGCATCAATTTTAAAACAAAAACACTGAAAAATGCTTCTCTCCTGTACTTCTTTTAGCTTCACTGTTCATCATCCTTGAACTTAGTCTGGCATTCTTGTAGCTTTTCTGTATTGCTTTTCTTTTTTCTTCCCTGAATCCTTTACTAGTTTCTCAAAGTTGCTAATAAGCAGAGAGGTTGCTTTCTTTTCCATTTCTGTCATACCTCATTAAGGTGATTTTATACACATGTATGCTTAATTAAGGCTTTTCATTAAAATAAGCCTTTAATCCAAAGGTGCTGGGCCTTAATTGAAACTCAGAGAAGATTAGTGTCATGTCTTATTTTGGTTTGTGCTGTTACTGTACTTTTTGCTGCTTCTAAACTGAAATGTTTGCATTACCCACAGCTGATATGTGGCCAGAAATAAATTAAAATTCATACTGCAGTCTTCTGGAGAGCAGCATGTCTCAGTAATTGCCATTTCTTATTAAGTGCCACCTTTTACTGAGAGCCTCCACTTAAAATGCAGAAGGTTGCTTTAAACACTCGAAGGACATTAACATAATGAACGTGCTGCCTGCTCTAAAGGTGACTAATAAGTGATGGATGATATCTGTTTTTATCTACGTGTATTATTTGAAAATGTAATTGTCTTTTTAAATAGTGCTAAAATCATGGGTCTGCCTAGAAGGCATGAGCGTTGGAGAATTCTTTTAGGAAGATTTATGAAAAATGGAAGTTTTAGCTACAGGTTAGCAGCACTCATGTGAGATACCTCATGGTGTATTGAGTTATAAAGCCTTTGTGAAGGAGGAAGGCATGGGTTTGGCAGGTTCTGGTCCTGCAGCACAAAGTGGACCAGCAGAGCAGCCGATCTGTTTTTTTTCTTGTAGAGCTGCACCTGAGCTGGGTGCTACTAATTAGCAGAGGCAGGTGGCCTGGCATCAATGGGATGAGAAGAACTTTTCAGGAAGAGCTGATAGCTTGAATAGGTTGCATAAATGTGACAGCAATGCCAGGGCAAAGGTTCAGAGTGACCTTCCTTTTACAGTCACTGCAATCAAGACTGAAACCTGGGCTTTGTATCATGATGCTGTTTGCAGCGTGTTTCAA